ACCACCAAGGAATTCTGAATGATAGAACGAAACAACGCATTCGTTGATCGCCCTTTGTGAGCCACCATGTCGGCCTCGAAGTGTAGCGTTTCACCCACTGCGTTGGCAACATGGGGGTCCTGCAAAATGGAGTCATCAACCCTGATCACTCGGTTCATGTGATCAGTGGTCCGAGGGTTCCACTCTGCGGCTTCCACAGTCTGTGGAGGGGGAGGTGGAGTCTGCCTCTGCTGTTGTTGTTGTTGCTATTGCTGCTGGGGAGGAGGTAACCCACGGCCTCTCCCGCTTTGTTGCTGAGCTGAGGGGACCCTGGATCCCCTGCCAAAGTCGTTGTGCCTTTGTTTGACCCTTCTCTCCTCCTCTACCTGAGGATCTTGGTCACGCACTTGACCCCGACCAACGGCTCTTGAAGGTTGGGTAGCGCTGGTTCCAGTAGATGGGGCCCCACTGGTTGATCCTCGTCCCCTCCCGACAGCGAGAGCCTGCCTCTACCTTAGGAACCCCAGATCTATGCGAGGCGTGTTCGACATGACAATCTCGAGGGCGTCCTCCTCGTCTAGGGACTGCAGGATTTGGAAGTCAGGCCACGAATCTCTCCCCGAAATCTCCACTTCGGCGTATAAAAGAACAAAAGCCTCCCTGGCCCCGAACTCCTCTACTTCAGCCTCTGTAGCCCGATCACGGTCTTCCTCCAAATTCTCCTCGACCTCTTGTTGCGCAGCCTGATCGAAAAGTTCAGACCACCGCGAAGGCTAGAAAGGCTGGGGAGCTGTGAGAACTTTTTATACCCGAGAGTGTAGTTCAGAAGAATGTGAGTAGCCCGGCCGAACCCGTCATCGCCAACAAATCTCCAAACAGTGACGAGGTCGATAAAGTTTACCAAGGACCGAAGTGGAAGAGCTGTTTCCCGAGCGGAGACGTCTGCACACAAACAAAAAGAGAGGGGAGGGAGTTATGAACACTTCTAAAAAATCTCAAAAACAAAATGATAGATCTGAAGAAGCCGACGTACTTGTCGTTCTCCATTCCAAAGGGCATAACAAGTCGTTGTACTCGGGACCGGCACCCCTCTGCCAAGATCCCTTGAAGATGAGTAGGTCATCCTTGTACCCCTTGTCCGAGTCCGAAAGATGAGTTACGAGGTACATAGATGGATCCCTGGCTTTGAGGTAGAAGTTTCGTTGAGGTATGACCCTCAAGAGGGAGACGCTTGTTGAGCTCTAAGACTCCCATAATTATCCTGAAGACATTAAGGCAACACTGCCCGAGGAAGAGGTAGAAATGGGAGAGGAACTGGAGGAGTAGAGGGGGCAGAGGGAATCTAATTCCGCCCTCTATGATGGCTTTGGTATAAAAGGGCATCTCATCCTCGGCCTCGAGGGTACGAAAATGCACAGCCGAGTTATAATCTTCTATGTCTACATATGGGGGATGTGATACTAGACCCTAAACCTATTAATCTGCTCACCCCCCTTCACTTTGTACTTCCCTGGCCTCGAGAAACTAGCCCGAGGACTCCCAGGGGCAGGGCGACATCGGGGCATCTCCAAAAATGATGAAAATTGAGGAAGAAGGGAGGGGTTTTCCTACGAAGATCCCCGAGGAGGCTTCCCGAGGGTTGGTCACAGAATGGCAACCAGAAACACCTTCAGTTATCGAAAAAATTAAAAGAAAATAAAAACACCGAGAAGAAGAAAAGAAGAGACGGAAGGGCGAAGAGAGGGAAGATACAAGGACTTATCGGAGCGTAAACGGAAGTTTTTCTTGAAAACTTGAAGTGATTCTTTCCCCTAGGATGTTTAGAAGCAATGATGGGTCTGCTGGTCTTGAGACTCCGATGAAAAATTGGGCAGTAGACAACGAAAGGAAAGGGATCTCCGGCGAGGTTTCAGGCAAGGGCTCTCTGAAGAAGTTCGAAATGACGAAATGAGAAAGGGAGAGAGGAAGCCCGTTTATATAGTACCCATCCCCATCATTTGGGCACAAAGAACGAAGAGGAGCATTTAATGCACACGACTTCCTAAGCAGGGAAAAACAACTAGAGGCAATGATAAAGTAGTTGGGATAGTTGCAGAACTCTTCGTCTCCTTACGACGCGTGTCCTCGGTGTTAGGAGATTGAAGGCTGGGGGACAGTTGATGGTCCAAGATGAAGACACGTGTCCTCGGCATCAGTAAATTCTTGTTACCGNAGACGCTTGTTGAGCTCTAAGACTCCCATAATTATCCTGAAGACATTAAGGCAACACTGCCCGAGGAAGAGGTAGAAATGGGAGAGGAACTGGAGGAGTAGAGGGGGCAGAGGGAATCTAATTCCGCCCTCTATGATGGCTTTGGTATAAAAGGGCATCTCATCCTCGGCCTCGAGGGTACGAAAATGCACAGCCGAGTTATAATCTTCTATGTCTACATATGGGGGATGTGATACTAGACCCTAAACCTATTAATCTGCTCACCCCCCTTCACTTTGTACTTCCCTGGCCTCGAGAAACTAGCCCGAGGACTCCCAGGGGCAGGGCGACATCGGGGCATCTCCAAAAATGATGAAAATTGAGGAAGAAGGGAGGGGTTTTCCTACGAAGATCCCCGAGGAGGCTTCCCGAGGGTTGGTCACAGAATGGCAACCAGAAACACCTTCAGTTATCGAAAAAATTAAAAGAAAATAAAAACACCGAGAAGAAGAAAAGAAGAGACGGAAGGGCGAAGAGAGGGAAGATACAAGGACTTACTGGAGCGTAAACGGAAGTTTTTCTTGAAAACTTGAAGTGATTCTTTCCCCTAGGATGTTCAGAAGCAATGATGGGTCTGCTGGTCTTGAGACTCCGATGAAAAATTGGGCAGTAGACAACGAAAGGAAAGGGATCTCCGGCGAGGTTTCAGGCAAGGGCTCTCTGAAGAAGTTCGAAATGACGAAATGAGAAAGGGAGAGAGGAAGCCCGTTTATATAGTACCCATCCCCATCATTTGGGCACAAAGAACGAAGAGGAGCATTTAATGCACACGACTTCCTAAGCAGGGAAAAACAACTAGAGGCAATGATAAAGTAGTTGGGATAGTTGCAGAACTCTTCGTCTCCTTACGACGCGTGTCCTCGGTGTTAGGAGATTGAAGGCTGGGGGGCAGTTGATGGTCCAAGATGAAGACACGTGTCCTCGACATCAGTAAATTCTTGTTACTGTAATCACGACACGTACCCGTCGGATCACAAGTCCCTCTTCCCCCGAGGTACTGTTCATAGAGATCAATGGCACCCAGTATGTTACGTACCGACACGTATCCCTCGGTCGGATATGGTTTACATCGGTCCCTACTTGTACCACTCCCCTCGGTACCAAGATGTACCCGTCCAGGATGGTGTTCTCTGCTCCTGCAGAGGCTATTGATGTACAGGTCACTAGCCTAAGCTAGGCTAGGTTAGTCATCATGACCTCGTCTTACACAATTGGTGTCTGAAGATACAACCAATGGGGAATGGGCGCATAGCATATTGTGTCAGATCAGAGACAAAAAGACCAAGATGCCCTTGCTGACACACGACTTGGGAAAGCAAGTATTTAGTGCACCATTCCCTTAATGAGATATCATTTAATGCAGTAAGACTTAGAAGTGAAAGGTAATAAATGTCCCTATGACTGGGCATTTATTACATCCTTGTCNAGCATTTAATGCACACGACTTCCTAAGCAGGGAAAAACAGCTAGAGGCAATGATAAAGTAGTTGGGATAGTTGCAGAACTCTTCGTCTCCTTACGACGCGTGTCCTCGGTGTTAGGAGATTGAAGGCTGGGGGGCAGTTGATGGTCCAAGATGAAGACACGTGTCCTCGACNCGAGAAGAAGAAAAGAAGAGACGGAAGGGCGAAGAGAGGGAAGATACAAGGACTTATCGGAGCGTAAACGGAAGTTTTTCTTGAAAACTTGAAGTGATTCTTTCCCCTAGGATGTTTANAGTCTGTCTCGAGAAATTGTCATTCATAGCATCTCTCTCTCTCTCTCTCTGTCTCTGTCTCTCTCTCTCTGTATATAAATATATATCCCAGCTCTATCGTGTTTATTCGACAAGGAACACCCTCACCATTCTATCACACACGCGCACACACACCACCGANTCAAAGAACTGACTTGATCGTCGGAGGGGATACGCCGAAAAACACTCCGACGCCCTCCTAACTCATTTTTCTCTGTTGCAGGAACCTCCCTTAGCCTTACTGGTTCGCTTCGTTGATCCACGAAAGTCACCCATTACCGTTCCAGGCCACCAACGGACCTCATAGTCTGTTCCAAGTAGTAAGGTTGACCATTTGATTGACCGACTCAAGTTCACCACGGAAAAGATCTGTTCTCGTGTTTATACTCTCTACCTCCTACATCAGACACACAACTTGATCCCACCAAATAAGGCTCGGATTACATCCATGTTCGCTGAGATTTGATCAAATAACAACGAGACCCCTCATGTATGGGAAATAACACAGATCTCCTCTGTCAGTAATGTCTGTCTCATGTGTATAATGAAAATCAGCAAAAAACTATAATACCCTTCCATCTCTTTCACTCAAAATTCTTCTTCTCCATTTTCTGTCATACCCAAGCTCATCATTGCCCACCCCCCTCTTCTTCCGACCTTCAACTCTCAGTACCTCCAATAATCACATCTCAAAAACCAATTTCTCCTCCCTCTCTATCTAGACACAAATGCATACTTTTGTATACCAGTCTGTCTCGAGAAATTGTCATTCATAGCATCTCTCTCTCTCTCTCTCTGTCTCTCTCTCTGTATATAAATATATATCCCAGCTCTATTGTGTTTATTCGACAAGGAACACCCTCACCATTCTATCACACACGCGCACACACACCACCAANGCCTAAGCTAGGCTAGGTTAGTCATCATGACCTCGTCTTACACAATTGGTGTCAGAAGATACAACCAATGGGGAATGGGCGCATNTTTATATGTATATCTATATGTATATATATGTATAACAGCCTCTGGGGCTTACCTTCACTGCTTGGAGAACTGGGAGGAGGAGGAAGAGAGGCTGGTGGAGGAGCTACAGCTTGGAAGAAGGGGTACATCTCATACCTAATATTACAACTTGGAAACAGAACTCTCGCCCCTTGCTTTATTGGGAGACTTGAGATTCCATTTCGAAGGCAAGTATTGCATTGAGAAATGGACAAATCAGGTGTGCATTGCCCAAGTCCAGAAAGATTTTGCAGTGCGGTAAAGTTGGCTTCTCCGGTCGCAAACTTCTTCCCCGATTGATCATTCGAAGCCCGAGTGGCTATGTCACTCATCAAAGCCCCCAACACCTGATTAAACATTTCTTCTTGATTTGTAACATTCTGAGTTTGACTTAAAATTATACCCACTGACATATCCGGAATGGAGTAGATAGATTCGTTGGAGTAACGCATCAAACAGTTGTCGTACCAAATCGTTGATCGCCTCTCAATTGGGCATCGCCGGAGAATTTCGGTACTAGCACTCGCCACACACTCTCGACAATCATTTACGGTGACATCGCCGCGGCAGAGGAAGAGGCCGTAGGCCATGTCAGGTGGGTTTCGGCCGGAAGTGAAGTTGTAAAACCCGGTGTCTCCGGTGGCGTTAGAAGTGAGATTGGAGAGTAGAGAGTTCAGGTTGTCTGCGTATGTGCTGTTCGGAGTGTAAGTAGTTGTGTTTGGACAGTTATGAGCGAGAGGTGCTTGGGAGAGAACTTTTTGCAGGAGGGTAAAGAAGCAAAACATGGATAGAAAAAGAAGATTATCAGAGAATTTGAAGGAAGACATTGTTATGGTGATCAAGCTTTTCTTTTGAGTTTCTGGGCATGTCCTGGTGTTTGATATATGAGTGATGACGATAAAAGTCTCTGTCATGGCGAGGAAGATGTCAAAAAAAAGCTTCTTTTTCTATGTTTGGCGTGGACTTGATGTTTTTTGTCGTTGAAAGAAAGTATACAGTAATTACACTGATAAGGACAGGAGTGAGATTAGGATGATAATATTGAACTTTCCAAAGCCATGATATTAGAGAAAACAGAGGTTAGGCGGGTGGCCCAAAAACACCGTGAAACTTAAGGATAGGGGTTTAAATCTCCTTGTTTTTTTTAATTTTTTTTGTATAATATTTATAAAAAAAAATATTATAACAATAATATCATATCATGATCTTGATATTACTAATCAATTATAAATAAATATGTAGGTTGAATAAATATGAGACTATTTTCATCATAAAAATATAATTTCTCTCTCTCTATTTAATTTCTTATTATTAAACTACTAAATTCATTCTTTTTATACTCACTTTATTAGTAACTAAATCCTCTACATATTATATACACCCCTATAATAAATAAATAAAAATTATCAAAATCAAAATATATAAGAAAACAAGAAAGAAAAATCAAGAAAACAAAAAGAAGAAATTTGTCGCCAGGTAAAAAATAAAATGAGCTTTTCAGTTCACAAAGACTATATCACAAAGGCTAATTCACAAACCATACAAGTTTATAAAAATAAACAAGTTTTTTATTGAAATAATCTTTATAGTCATTTCTTAAAATAATTTGAATGCATACATANCTCTCTATTTAATTTCTTATTATTAAACTACTAAATTCATTCTTTTTATACTCACTCTATTAGTAACTAAATCATCTACATATTATATACACCCCTATAATAAATAAATAAAAATTATCAAAATATATAAGAAAACAAGAAAGAAAAATCAAGAAAACAAAAAGAAGAAATTTGTCGCCAGGTAAAAAATAAAATGAGCTTTTCAGTTCACAAAGACTATATCACAAAGGCTAATTCACAAACCATACAAGTTTATAAAAATAAACAAGTTTTTTATTGAAATAATCTTTTATAGTCATTTCTTAAAATAATTTGAATACATACATATATATATATACACACACACATATAAACCCTAAATTAAAAATTATTAAACTTGACAGAAATATCAAAACACAACAAAAATAATAAAATTTTACACAACACATGAAATCAAACATAGAATTACATCAAAAAATAATATTAATTTGTGTCTCTTTAGATACATTCATATTGAAAAAATGTTTTTGTATGTGTATAAGATGAGNATATATATATACACACACACATATAAACCCTAAATTAAAAATTATTAAACTTGACAAAAATATCAAAACACAACAAAAATAATAAAATTTTACACAACACATGAAATCAAACATAGAATTACATAAAAAAATAATATTAATTTGTGTCTCTTTAGATAAATTCATATTGAAAAAGTGTTTTTGTATGTGTATAAGATGGGATAATGAATGAAATCCTAATTGTGAGAAGATATAAGGTGAACTACTTTATTAAAAGTGTGTTTGTAGCATGGGTTGAGTTTAGTTATTAAAAGGGCGGGTATAAAAAAGGCGGACTTTATAATTTGATAATAAAAAATTAAATTGGGTGAGAATGGATATTTATGGGGTGGGAATAGTCCCACTCAATTTTATAACATCAAAAATTTAGTATGCAATGTTGTGAGACTATTTAATGTTTGAATCTATAAAATACAAAAAATGTAATACATTTTAGAGGGACCAAGTATTACTTGTCTCTTCTAGTTGGGAATTTTTTTCCTTTGGGTGGATGTTTGGTGTAAAGTAGTCTCTGGAGAGAAGGCATTTTGCTTTGCCTAACATAAAAAGAAACCCATGAAATTTTTAAATCTCTACTTTATGACCTAAGCTCTTTTTACATGGTATTTTAAATGTGTATCCACTCTAAGAATGGGTTAGGAATCCATCGATATCGCTTCTCTTGGAAAAAAGTTTATTTCAAATCACAAAAATAATTTCGTTTCTTTTATATTTTATGAATTTTTTTTTTTTTTTGAAGTATCACAAACACCTTGTTCATGATAACCATGACTTTGACAATTAGCACACTTAAAAGAGCCTTAAATTGAGATTAGCATTGACCTAAAGATCATATTGAACTTGCAATCACGAATTCACACTTGTAATAGTATTTTTGATAAAAAAAAAAAAAAACTTGAAAAAAGTCTTAAGTCAAAAGGGGTGGTCTAAACAACGTGTCTTGTGGTGTACTTCATGGTTGCTTTGAATTATAAGACGCGAAAAGAGTCTTTATGGTTGCTGCCTTCACCGCTGGAAACCGTTGGTTGATAAACTTGCATTTATTGTGAAGGACTTGGGTAGTGGTCTGTCTCTCTCTCCCCCCTCCCCCCTCCCCCCCTCTGTGTCTCTCTCTGACCTGTGCTTTCAATTTCTCTTCCTTTTGGCTCCTCTTTTCCCAAACGAAGTACGCCATATCTGCAAAAATTGTCTCCATGGACTACTTGACTTTGTGATAGCCAAGGAAAAGCCGATAAAAACCAGGATAGTTCTCCGCGATTATATAGAAGAACAATAAATTTAGATATTTTAAATTTAAATTTTGATAATTTTTTATATAAAATTATAAAAAATTTATTTCTCATGAATATTCTAATTCTGACGTAGTTGATCTTTCTTTGACCAGATCTAAGAACAGCATATCAATTAAGATGCGCATAAATTGATCTGAATATCCCTAACTATTAAATAAATAAAAATTAGGGCAGCAGTATGCTAAATAATTTTGGGTATCAACCATTAATTATGAAAATGATAAATTCAAGTGAAATACTAACTTCAACAATTTTTATAAATATCTAATTATCATTAAAAAAAGATATAATACCAAATAATTAGTGTAAATGTCATAATTAAACACCATTCATACTGTAAAAATCATATTGACCAAGTCAAACACATGACTAAAGAAACACCCCGGGGACGAAAATCTGATCAAATTCATAATTATAGTGGAAGTCAAAAGCTCATAATTATAACGTACGCTATGCATAATTCATAATTATACAATTTAAAAACGCATTATATATAGTAGCGGTCAAAAGTTCATAATTATAACGTAATCTATACGTAATTCACCAAACCAATGCAATATCGAATATTAATTGTGATAGATTGAATATCGATGATTAACAAAAATAAATTTACGCAAAATCAATTGAGGATAAAGTAAAGAAGAATTATTACAAATAAACATAAAGATTAGGTGACTCAGTCTTGATGACCTACTCCATTGAGAATGACGATGGTGGCCGGAGAATCTTATTACTCAAGAGATGTAGTGTGCTGAGATATATGTGATATCCCCCATATAAGCAGAACTTACAATTTAAAGACAAGTGAAGTTGGTTTTGAGAGACCAATTGAGGCGTCATCCTCATAACTAATTCTGTAAAGTTTGCTATACCTAGTAACAGACGAACTACTCTCATGAGACTGGCGATGTATAACTAATGATTACGTCCTCACAAATTCCCTCTGCTTGGATAGATATTCTCCTGTACACTGACGATGAACTGAGTGTCTCAAAAAAATAGTCTTGGCCCAACTAAAATTATAATTGATATTTTGTTAGTCTGTATCTAATCGAGGTCTGATCTGGGCCAGACCATCCTATACAATCATTGTTTTCTAATCAAAAGTCCAACCACATGAGTTATTATCAACATAAGCCATTGCCCCCCATTCACCTTGGCGGCCGGATTGTAGGAAGGGATACGTAGTCTGTGTAGCCTACATTGTAAAACGTAGTCAATTTAAGTTTTCAAGACTTTTAAGACAGTATTGTACAATGAAGTTTAAAACTCAAACTTACAATGCACTCTGCACACTTCATCACACAATGAGTGAAAGACCAATACTATTTGTTTAATGGTTTCTCCAAAATGGACCTATGGCCAGTTCAATAGTGATGCGCCAAATGGCCCAATTCATGTGGGAAGTTCAATCTCAACTAAGAGTCCAGTTTTATATAGACTCACCAAGTTCAATATGATCCAAAACCAGTCAAGCTTATCAGAGGAAGCTACGTCAACTTGGCTACGTCATCAAGAGAGCATCCAGGAGTCACATTCTCACCGTTTTGGAAATAGTCAGCCCTCCCCTCACCTCTGACCGGGTCTTATGGAGAGCACCTCAACCACCTCGCCCGTTGAGGATAAGTCGTGAGCTCCGCCAGAATTGTTACTTAGTTGCTATTAAGTCGCTCTGNAGCATCCAGGAGTCACATTCTCACCGTTTTGGAAATAGTCAGCCCTCCCCTCACCTTTGACCGGGTCTTGTGGAGAGCACCTCAACCACCTCGCCCGTTGAGGATAAGTCGTGAGCTCCGCCAGAATTGTTACTTAGTTGCTATTAAGTCGCTCTGATCTGTTAGGGGACGACTATAAATTGTAAGCTCCGCCAACACATCACACTCTCACCATAGCACAACTCTCTCATCTCCCTATCAAAGCTTGTACTCTCTGTTCTCCCAGCATTCCTGAATTAATAAAGTACCCGGCGACCCTAGCCATTCAGAAGTGGACGTAAGTTACATTGACCGAACCACTATAAATCTCGCATTCTCTCTTTACTTTAATTACTGCATTTATTACTCATACTTGATAGGTGGTGTACAAAATCATTTTGTGCATCATCAGTTTGGCGCCGTTTGTGAGAAATGACAAAATTCTCACTTAAACTTTTCATTTGCTGAACCAATGACGATCACTACCAGGTCCATGAACCAACTTGAGGATAATCCACAGCGAGAGGAAGAGGTTGCTCCTCCACCAACCAACCTTATCCCAAATGCTCCTGTTCTAAATCCTCAGCAAATTTTGGAGACCATGCAGCAGCTGGTGGCCCAAAACCAATAGGTCCTACAACTCATGCTTGCCGAACAGGGAGGAGCACAACTTGGAGGAACACAGCATGGAGGACCTCAATGAGCTCCACATCCTGGACATCACAGAGTTCCACACCTTACTGCTCCCCATCTAGG